TCAAATTCTCTTTTGCACTTTAGATAAAAGTCATTACAGTGGGGAGAGATAGTTAAAGGATTAGTTTTCAGGATCAAATATGGTACATGTTGTCCCCAAATTTAAGGCCAAGTCCATGCAAATTACTAGATTAATAATTTTCCTGTGAATATATGATAGTCAATTGTGGCATAAGCACAGGAATTTCTAAGTATGCTGATTTTAGTCATCCTAATAATGCCACTGATTGACTACAGAATCCCATTAGTCACCTGGCCATCAGCCTTTATTACTACTAGAAAAAAATAAATCAACTAAAAAAATGGTCAATTCAGTCAGGCTATATAAATACTGTTATGACTACTCTGGAATTATATCCATACCATTATGGCCAGAAATACAGATGTAATGGTATAATAACAGGGGAGTTTCATTATAAGTGCCTTCCTAAATTTAAATGGTAAAGATTCAATACATGCCTAAGTGATCACTTTGAGGTTTATTGTAGCTTCAAGCTCATTTTACTGCCACTTCTGACTTTTAAAACTGACTCAGGAGTGTGTAAGGATACAAGAAAAAGTCTAATTTTGCCTTCCAAATCCAAGCCTAGTAGTATGTCTCTGAGGAAACAGAAAAACAGTCTATGAAGTTTTATCTTTTGTTCCCTACCTATCAGGAAAACAGTGAGTCACCTAATTTTCCCTAACAGTTTGGCAAGTTCTATCTGATCTCCAAGTCTGTTTCTTCACCTGTAAAACAGAAATAACATATAGGAATCCCATGCCTACTTTTTGAAGGGCTGAGATACATGGGATAAATAGCTTAAAGACAATCTTCAAAGAAACCTAATGACTTTAAAATTATCATTTGTTTAGATTACATTTTAATTTGGTTTATGACTGTTCATATTCCATGGTACAACATGTAAGAAAAATAGGTAGGATTCCATTTTTACTACCCATTTATCTAGTAAAAAAAATCCAAGTTAGAGTTGACTCCACAGATACCCCTCACAGGCTTCGTGGCCAGGGTGCAGGAAAACATTGCCAATAACCCAACTCCACCACCACCTCCTCCACCAGATGACATTCCCATATTTGATGACTCCCCACCTCCACCTCCCCCTCCCCCAGTGGACTATGAGGATGAGGAAGCTGCAGTAGTTCAGTACAATGATCCATACGCAGATGGGGATCCTGCCTGCCCCCCCAAGAATTGCATTGAAAAGGTTGTTGCAATATATGATTATACAAAAGACAAGGATGACGAGCTGTCATTTATGGAGGGTGCAATCATTTACGTGATAAAGAAGAATGATGATGGCTGGTATGAAGGAGTCTTCAGTCGAATGACTGGCTTCTTCCCTGGGAACTATGTTGAATCAATCATGCACTATACTGATTAATTTTTTTATTTGTTTTGCTTTTAAAGTAGATTCTTATTACTCATACTGTGGACTATTACAGTTAACAGAATTGTCTTAATGTTTTAAAATGTGCTCATATTTTCAGGATATGTTGTTTATTGGTATATTTGAATGTCTACCTATAAAGATAAATCTTTGCGGCAGTTTGTGTATTGCTCAACAGCAATTTATACAAGAAGCTGCCCATAAATGATTATGCTTATGTACTTACACATTGTTAACTTTATGACCAGCCTAAATATTCTGGGGAAGTGGGGGTATAATATTTAACAAATCATGATTAAGATTGTACCATTACATGTCTCAGTGCAGCATGGTTACTAATACTATGTCAGACTAATATTAAAATCAGAAAATTTAAATGCTGGTGCTGGCCATACTTCTGGTTTAGATTCTCTCATTTTTAAAAACTGTTTAAAGCATGCATAAAAATTTATGTATTAAAATATACTTAACAATTCCAAGATGCTTCCAATTTGTGTACTACTTATTGGAGTACTCATATTAGGTGAGTCGCTAAGGTCTCCATGTGAAACAAACACAAAGGATTATCTGTAATGTTGTAATTTGTACCTAAGTTTTTTTATGAGCGAATTTGCATTATAAATTTTTCCATTCATAAACACGTAAGTGGACCAAAGGTTTTTGTCCTTTCCTTCACTGGTTTGCTTTTAAAAATACAAAAACTGTTTTATTGCAGAATTATGGTTCTATTTTCTCAATATATTAACTTGGAAAAAAATTTTAGCCTTATCTCAATGTGTCCCAATAGCAATGTGATGGATTTTTGCAATTTAAAATCTAAGATGATTATTTACAAGTCAAGTCAATCTACTGAATTACTTTTTTAAAGTAACTTTTGAAGCTAAGAAAATATTTCAAAGTATGTACATCATTCTGTAGGTAAAATTCTTAAGGACTGCCTTGTTAGTCCTTTAGTTTTACAGTGGACTGTTGTACACTGGTTCAGTAAAAGGAACTTACAAGTATCTTTTACATACTGTAAAAGCGGATGCAGTTAATTTGTGAATAGGCGCTATTTAATCTACTGCCTGGCACTAGCAACATTAAGATTTAAAAATAATTGAGAAAGGTGAAGCATACTGCAAAGAGATATACTTACTGAACCAACAGATCTGTATTGTCTTTTGACATAATTGAAATGCAACACATGTACTTTGTGTGTCTCTTTTTAATTTAAGAGAGGGTTAGAGGGATGTTTTCTTCTCTTTTTATCTTGTGTATAATTCTGTATTGCTTAGGATACTAAAGTAGAACACTCCAGTATGGGTTTCTGTGTATTGAAGATTTATTTGGATTTCAAATTTCAGTTATGTACTGGGCATTACAGACTTAAAAACAGCACAGTGAATAGTGAGATTAGTGCAAAACATTTCTGAAAATTAAAGACCATTATTGCTACCAAATCAATGTGACTGTTTCATATGCATTTTGCCTTTAATTTTAAACAAAGTATCATTAGTGATCAGCTAGCTAACTTCTACTTCCTTTTTCAAATTGAATGTTCTCTTAATTTGTATATAACCTGTTGTCTAAATTTTACATACAGTCTTTTATAATAAACCATCTCCTATATGAAAAAAAAAATCCAAGTTAGCATAATCACATATGGGAGAACTCTTGCCAAAAATATTAAACCTGAATCTAGTGAAACAATTAGTCCACATATTCTAAGAGAAAAAAATTGGCTTGGACTTTTAAAAAGTGTCACTGCCGTGAAATACCCAAACAAAGGCAGGACATGAAGTGCATAATTTAGATAAAAGGAAACAAAGACATGGTGGCCATGAATTCTGGACCAAACAATAAATAAGAATTAGAAAAAAACTAATTTGGGGGACAATTGGAGCAATTTGCTCTGTATATTAGATAATATATCAACAATAAACTTCTTCAGCATGATAATAGAATTATGGTTATGAAGAAAACTGTCCTTGTTTTTAAGAGAAACATGTTGAAACATTCAGGGTGCTACATTGTTTACAACTGATTTTCAAATAATTCTGAAAAAAAATTTAACTACAGAGAAAGCACGTGACAAAATGTTAATTGCTGAAAATCTAGGTAAACAGTATAAGAACGTTTATTATCCTGTTCCAACTTTTGTATATATTCGAAATTTTCAAATATATACAAAATAAAAGATGTATGGGCCAGGGATTTAGCTCAGTGTCACCGTGCTTGCCAGGTAAGTGCAAGGTCCTGAGATCGATCCCTGACACAAAAATCAGTAAAGTTAAATAAAATAAAAGACTAAGATACAAAAAAGTGAAAGACAACATATGAATACAATAAATCCTGGCAAGTAATAGAAAATATATTCATTTTTCATTAATAAAATTATACATTTCATAAAACTAATTTTGTAAGCCAAAATAAATTCACCATATTATAATACTGAGGAATTAATTGTTCATATTATTTAAGAGCATCACTAAGCTTTCTAATAAACAAAACAGGTAAATTAGGTGGACTATATGATAAAAAGTCTCAGTACAAGATTTCCATCAGGTAAAAAGCAGTGTAAATAGAACAGACAAAAATGTTACTGTTGGAAAAGATCATGAACTAAAATCAAGTCCATATAGATCAGAAGACTAGTACCCACATGTTTTCAAGAATACAACTGCAATATGACTTACGTTTTTCTTTTAAAGAAAATCTCTCAAACAATGTAGAACAGATACAGTTAACCAATGTGACAGTTCATATTTTATCATATACTCCTTCCAGTTGAACCACTCCAAAGGCAAGCAAGTAAAACAACTAGGAACAAAATATGGTCTACAGGCAGAAAACATTGTATATTGCTCTAGAGTACCATTAAAGTATTCTAGAGTAGGAGTACTATAAAAATGTGGGGAAGAAAAATTCTCTAATAAACACTAGGTTTGGACAATACATGAAAATAAATTTAAGACATGGATAAAACACACTAAGTCAGCCTTATCCTAAAGTCTTCCTACAGGATTTGGGGTGAAAGAATTAATAAATTTCATGAGTCTCCTTTGTATCAAACCTGTAAGAAATGTTAATACAGTTAACCTATTCTCTAGGCAATGAGTACTATTTTTTTAAGAGCAGTAAAAGTACTCAACTATTCTAAATGAACCTTCAGGCTTTTCTGCCCTGTCATGAGGTGGGACAACTACCCAACAATTGCCTAAGAAATCAGAAGGTATACTCAGGAATCTTTTCATGGGTTCATTTGAATATTAACTACAAAGAGCATCAGTGTAACATGAGTTAAACATTTATATTCATATCATTCTTAGTAAAATATATTCATGAAAAATGTAAATATATTGTAAATGTGGAGTCACATCCTCTGATTTAAAACCTTTTTACTAGTATGGACTTCCATTACCATGGGCTCTTCTTAGGAAACATACAGTATTTCCTTTAAAGGATAAGCTCTGTAATGCAAAATAATAAAAGATTAAATTATCTTTAAGACCTAACCTATTTCTAGAAATCCTTTTCTTTATAAAATGGCAACTTTTTAAAGTATATAGACAAGAACAAACATCATAAAGCATTGTTATCTGTAATTTCAAAAGAGCATTTCATTTACCTTATGAATGGGCACTATCAAGGTTGGTTCCACTTTAGCTTCAATTTCTTCTGGACTATAAAAGCAATAGAGTTTACCCCCTCTCAAAACACAATACAGCCTTCTCCAAACAGTTAAACCTTCTATCATTTGCTAGGAAAAAAAAATCAAAAAGCTATCAATTTTAAATCATTGCCATCATAACTCCAAATTCAATGCAATACTTAAGTTATCAAAGTTAAATTATATTTTAGAACTTTTAAAATGTGATAATTACCCACTTATTTGCTACAGAATAAGCCTATCTGCTCAAAATCCAAGAGTGAGTTCATTATCGAGAAGAAAAGTTTGAAATTCTCAAAAAGCATTAAGCAAAATGAAGGTAATGATTACCATATAACTTACGTACAAATCACAAATTAATGCAATTTTTAGAAAAGCTAGTCTATTAAAAAATTACTTCTCAGAATTACACAGTAATTCATGAGTCAGGAAAATTATAAAAATAACTCTCAATGTTGAAAATTTAATTTTCCCTTACTGTTCTCAGAACATTAGAAAATGTTGACTACCTGGTAAGAATGCAAATTTTCTTTCTTTTAATGGAATCTTTTAGAAAAAGCTATTGATTCATTGAAGCCCACAATTAATTATTTACTGAATATAAATAACTAAGGTTATAAATAAATCAGGTGTAGGTTGCACAGAGGCAGCTTTGGAAGCCCAGAGGCCCAAACTGTGCCAAAAGCTTTCTGCCAGAAGGGCCTTTATGTGAAAGGTGTTGCGTAGCTGCGTCATTTTCCACAAGGAGGCCTCTGTTGCTGATTATCCTGCTACTGTAGGAGCATGCAGAGGTAGCTCCCTAGCCATCAAAACTGCACCAGACCCTTCTTCCCCTTGACATCCTTCTCATGCCCACATTCCCCAGTTTCTAATAACATTTTAAAAATTAATATTTAAAAAAGGCTTCTCAGTATTTGAAGGTCAAACAACTACCTACACATTAAGATCTCAATTGGAGCTAAAATTGTAGGATTATTTAAAGTCCACTAACCTGCTGATTAAGAAATCCTGCAAATGCATCCTCAGCCATACAAGCTGGCTGAGCAACTAATCGGCAGCACATGTTGCCATACAAGGGAAGCCAAAATGAAGACTCCTCTATTTAAAAGAGAAAGAAAAATAATCAAGTTACAAATATATGTTTATTTAAGGTCATTATGCATTTTGTAATTTTCTTTTCACAATTTTTTACTTCATACAAAACATATTTTGATATTTTCATATAAAGGTTTATCTATTCAAATACCAGTACTATATCTAATAGCAATCAAATATGAGTAAGTAGAGAGCACATGATATTAAACTGATAAGTTTATTGGCTAAAATAGCCATGCACATTTTAATCTTCATTTAATTTGATCTTAAAAGTAATTATTCAATGGCGATTCCTCAAGAAATATAAGTAATCTCTAATAATAAACTAATTTATGTTTTTCAAATTCTACTTTTTGCTCTGATTCTCATTATCAAAATTAGCAAAGTGATCTTCTAAATAAAATATTATTTCAGCCAACAACTTAAGATAAACTAATAAACCTTTTTGGTCCTTTCTCTTCCCCCTTCCCATACTAAGTATAGCCCACAGGATGAGCATCTGTGCAGGGTTCAGAAAGGAACTGTGATGTGCTTGAAATGAATGCTGGAGCCAAGCGGGATAAGGAGGGTGATGAGGAGGGTTCCCAGCATGACATGTCAGAGCCTGAATGGGCTCACAGGGCATCCACACCAAAGCACAGCCTAGCCTTGGGACTCTGCCTTGAATAAGGAGACTGAGAAGTGTCCCTCTGAAATGGCACTCTAAAGTGAGGAATGGCCTGGTGCAGGAAGTCAGGACCCTGGCAGAGCGTGGAAGGCCTCCTTGTAGAGTGGCTGCTTGAAGTGAGGTGTCAGGACCCAAGCAGAATAAGAAGATTGGCCACGGGTGTTGACCAACCCAGCCATAGGAATCCGGGACTGAGAGCAGTTAAGAAGTCACCCACAAATGGGTGACAGTACAGTGTGTCAGCACCCTAAATCAGGTGAGAAGGGCAGCCAGGGACCTGGGAGAAATGGTTGATTCTGGGATGGGGCAGGGAAAGTACATGATGACCTGAAATTCTTTGGTATGGCATAGAGCAAGGAAGTGCTCAAAGAATAACATAAAAAAGACACAGAAAAATAAGAACCAAGATACATCATGTAAAGGTACAAGATCCCAATGATGAATGTAACTGTATATCTAAAATGTACCAATAAACTTAAAGGAAAAAAAATAAATGACCAATGATCAGAAAAAAAAAAAGACACAGAAGTCATCTGGAACGGGTTCCCATTGCCTGCGTTTGGGGCAATTCGAACCTCAAAATAATCAGTGATATTAACAGATGATGATGTACTGAATAAAAATGGAAAAATATGAATTCATAATTTGGAAGTCTAATAAATGTATACTTACACAGTTTCAAAGTACCCCGTCCCTACCACAAAATATGTACTAATTACAAAGTGTAGAACAAAAGAGTCATTTTACAGTAGAGAAGATTGGCAGATAGCATCTTAGCCTAGGAATCAAAATTAACACATCATTAGTATGGAATGGGATGAGTCAAAATTATATGCCACCTGATAGGATGGAATGAGAACAGCATCACTGCCAAAGATACATATTCTGAATCTTATCCCAAGAAATATGACACAAATCCAAATGGAGAGATCTTTTATGAAATGACTACTGTCTAATCATTAAAAATGTCAAGGTCGGGCCAGGGATTTAGCTCAGTGGCACCTCCACCTGCCTTGTAAGCACAAGGTCCCAAGTTCGATTCCCAGCACCAAGAAAAAAAAAAAAAAGTCAAGGTTATGAAAGTCAAAGAAAGACTGATACTGATCTAGACTGAATGGTATTAAACCCATATGATAATTAAATGCAATGTATGATTCTGAACTGGGGGATCCTTTCGCCATATTATCAGAAAATTGGCAATACTTGAGTAGGGTCTGAGAATTAGATGACAGTAATCTATTAATATTTACTTCTTGAGTTCAGTTGTTGTGATGTAGATAAAAGACTTGCTAATGGTTAATATGTATTAAAATATTAGGGGTTATCAAACATCAAGTAAGCAATTTTCTATCATGTCTTTTTTTGGGGAAAAAGATCTTGACATTTAACTTATACATTTTAAAAATTTCTTTCAAAAAAATCATTATGACAGTCCCTCAACCTAGTGTCAAGGTGGATTTATGTCCTTTGCATCTATATGGAAAGAAAGTATTGAATAATTTGTCCAATATATTTGATTACAAATAAAATCCAATATATGGCCTTCAGTTCACACTGGTCCATACACAAAGGATTATTTTAAAGTTTCCACTACACCCCCATTGGCAGTACCCATAAAATGGCTAGCCATTGGCTATAATTAGTATTTGCCTCAAAGACTCAGTAACTCTAGAAAACATGTTTTTGATAAAACTAGTTACTTAATATATAAAAACATAAGACAGCCGGGGATTTAGCTCAGTGGTTCTGCCTCCTGCCTTGCAAGAGGAAGGACCTGTGTTCGATCCCCAGTACCAAAAAAAAAAAAGACAGTAAAGATAAAATGTATCAGTTAAAGGAAAAAGAACAACTTAAATGAAGAGTACAAAGTAAAACAACAAAAGTTTAAACACTTACCTGAATTCTATTATAGAATAGTACACAACAAATTTCCTAGGACTATTCAAACTTTTATTAATAATTGGTTAAAACTGTTACTTTTTAGAAATAAAGAGTTGAACTAGGAGAAATAAGTGCATAAATACATGCAATGATTTGAAATGAAAACTAAAATAGAGCCACTTCTAAAATAGTCAGGAAATGAAATAAAAATTCTACAGAGGGCATGCATCTGAGTAATATATCAGAAATCTATATAGGAAATCTCAGATTTATGAATGGTTTATGTTCTAAATATTTGTAAGTTAGTTGTTTTTAAGTTTGAATGCACTTCCTAAAGAAACAAAATCAGAAATTATTAGATCCCCAAAATAGTCCACAACATTTGTGCAACCAATAATGTATCTGGAACCTAAATACTACATGTGACAATGTATTTCTCTGACAAAATAAGTTTGGACTTCATGGCAAGCAAAGGAAAATAAGTAATTTCTAACTGCAGTCCTATACTGAATGCAGACCTTAGTCCACAGCCCTGCAATCACATTACTTCTAACATAGGTTTATTTGTAGGTTGGGATTACTGTGGAATAAAATAATAGCTTCTCTATTTCTCATTTAAAAAAATATCAACCTTAAGAGAGGGTTGTTATGATGATCAAAAAAGATAATGTGTACATGATATTCACTATGTGCCTGGCACATAATAGATGCTTCTCCTAATTTCATATTCAGGGTTGTCTCACTCCCCAAACCACACTTTTTCCATTTTTCAATCTTGTCTCTTGATCCTTGTGCAACACATTAATGAAATTCTTAATTTCTCTTTTTCTAACCAATGGAGCTATAAGGACAAGATGAACTGAAACAAGAAATGAAAGAGCAGTTTGACTTTTCATTACTGAAAGAATTTATTCATTCATAGTTTCAAATGAGGGACAAAAAAAGAGTGTAAAAGTATAATGACAAAAACGACAGGTTGGAGAAACCAGAGAACATCTCTTAATCTTGATGATGTATTTCAATTTTTGATAAAGTATATAAAATTTTCTTGACAAATATAAACTTTAAGATACCATTTGGGCTGTCATTCAACCAACAAGACTAAGAAAAATTAGTTATAATTTTCAAAAATCTTGTATCTTCTGTTAATTTTATAGTATTTGGTATTAGTATTTGCACATAACTTTATTTAGGAAAATCCACTGCACTAACATATAGACTTACACTTAATGAATAAATTAGAAGGTGACTTTTTCTATAAAACCTTGTTTTACTTTAGTGTAAGTTTTAGTTTTAAGTTTTCTTCTTTTTCAAAATATAATCAATTTACAAAATTTTTATTTACATATACTTCCAATATACCTATTACATAAAAATAGGTAGTCTGGTGTTTAACATTTCTTCTGTGGATCTACATGTTCCAAAGTCAAAAGGTTTGGAGTTTTACTCTTTTAAGCATAGGTCTTTTTCAGTCTTTACTATGCATGCATTGTGGTTCTCTAGGACAGTTATACCATATAGTTTCCTTGCTCACTTGACCACCAATACTTTCTTGAATCTTGTCATATCTTATAGAACAATGAAAACAACCAATTTTATCACTTCCAAAATCGATGCTCCCTCTGTGAATGTTATTGCTTTCTACTACTTTTCAGTAGAGCTGGTTGAAAGAACTGGGTCTTTCATAAGTTCCACTATCTTCACATTACCACAGTACCTGGTGTACTCTGGGTACCTTAACAGTGATTGCGCCTACAGGAGAGCATGACGGGGCGAGCATAGCCTTCCTTGACTGTCTGCAGTTGACTTCAGCCACTTGCTGGTTACATGGCCTAGGGCTCTTACAGCCTCTAAGCTGTGCTTTACCATCTCTAAAATGTGAATAATAAAATGAGGACCATACCAAAGGTCACAGAACTAGCCAGTGGGAGAAGTAGAATATGAACCAAAGACTGACTGCTTCAGTGTACCCACCATCACTTATTATTTGATTATAATGCCTCCATATATCTACATCTCAGTGCACAAGAGTGAAAATTGCTTTGAAAGTATTTAGAACAGTTTCTGACACAGTATAAGCACACAACATATGGTATATCTAGAGAAATGACCCAAAAGAGATAACGAAAAAGATTTATCAGATTTTCTGATAAAATTGATAAGGCAAACACTATTATACATTTCGGGTTCTAGATGATGAAAGGTTAGACTAAATTTAGGCCACTTCTCCCACTGAAAACTACTGAAACTGCTAAATAAAAAAAATTGTAAATTTTTTTCCAAAAGGAACAAAGAGGTAATCAAACTGTAAGAAATTACCAGGACGACCTGAAAGACAAAAGGGAATCAGAAAGTAAAGTGACGTCTTCAAGAGTTCTACCTAACCTCTGTTCCAACTGGTTCAGAGTTTCTATTTTAATATTTAGATCTTTAATCCATTTTGATTTTAGTTTAG